AACAACAACAACAATAGTAAATGCTATACAAGCACTGCTCAGTGGTTATTTGATAAGCTGGAAATATAAAGCTCACATCTAAGTCCTCATGTTTTTAAATCAGATATTGGGTTTGTATCTGTGACATTATGTTTTTTCCTATACAAACTGAGACAGACTAATTTTGTTATTTAAAGATTGCATTAAACACTCTGCAGGTTAGTGCAGGATACAGGTTAGTTTGCTGTACTGTGATGGATTTAAAGTAAACAACAGTGTATTGGACTGGTGCACAGTGGCTGTGGTTTCATGGTCAGAGTTAGGTTACATCAAGTGTAGCAGAGATTGGTTTAATTTTAGTTGATGATGCTTAGATCCACGTAATGAATTCCATCTTCATACCAACTTTATACCATCTTGAAAAAAGACAGCATGAACTGGAGTCGTGCTTTCTTAACTGTCTGTGCTCAAGTGCCTTTAAATATATTTTATTATACCACACTGTTTAAATCGTATTTACCAATTTGCTGTGCCCATATGATTTTGCATGTTGTCCTATCAATGCACCAGCAGTAGACTTATAAAGGTAGGAATAAATCTGGTGCATTAACCAGAGAACATGTTAATTGGTGCACACTGTCCATAATTATATATAATAACTGAACAGAAGTAACTAACAATAATTTAATTTAATAACTTTCCAAAAACACCTAATAACAGTCCCAGCATTGACAATAATGTGTTGTAGCACATAGACACACAGTCAGACTACAAGAAACATATAATATAATTAAACACACTCTTGAAGCTCTGTATGTGCCAATATGTATTTGATCTTCTCCATCTAAATCCCTCACTGAATGAACACTCTGGTGGTGCTGCAGAAAAACACAGAGTCCCAAATACTTTAGCAAGACTGAAAACCCCACTGGAGCCTAAGAGAGGCTTCAGCTTGTCTTTTCAGCTTGTAACTGCTGCTTTAAAGTTAAACTACAGATCTACAGACCAGAGTCTGACTGTTTTGTTTGTTTGTTTGTTTTAGCTGAAATCTCTAATTAGCCCAACTGCAGAAACATATTTTTTGCTATTAAAAATGGTGCAGCAATGAGCCATCACTGATAAAAGATGTCAAGTGAAACGGACTTGTTATATTTATAATAACTGTAAACTCATTTGAATCTTTCATTTTTAAAGAAGTGTCATGTCATCATGTCTGTTATCAGCAAAATTTCTCTGCTAGTCAAGCTTAACAGTTCATGCATGAAAAGAGACAGGAAAAATGGAGTTAACTGTTTCATCACCCTCGATGATCAGCCTGAAAGTTAAACTTTATTTTGTCAATTCTGTACTACAAGGAAATACGTTTATGCGAATTCCAGTGAATATTTATATTTACACATATATCCTAAATGTGTGCCCAGTATGCAGAAGAGTCCAACTCTTCTGCATGCCTCAAGCTATTTGTTGTCAAAACTTCCTCCTTTTGACTACGATTACAGCATTTTACCAGCTCAACTGCATCAGACAATGTTCCATTTTGAGGCCTTTGGACCTCTTGCAAATCATGACATGCCTGTATTTTGTGTTTTCATAATTCAAGCTATGAAATACTACCTGGTGAAGTTTTAGTGTTAATGAGGCTAGAAGGTATTGAGAAAAAGTGAATTAATAAACAAACAAACAAACAAACAAACAAACAATCTTTATTGGTGGCTGTATGAATAAATATAACTGTGAAGTTAATGTGTGAAATAAAGCTTTGTGTGTGCAAATTATCCAAAGCTGATCTTTTAAGTAGCATTAAACATTAGAGCAAAGTGGATGCCCTTTATTTATGCCTGTATCTGTAGCTTTGTGTGTGCATAGCTGGCTGACTGGCAGGGCTAATGGACTGTGACTGGCTACAGCAAGCAGAGCGATGCTTATCAAAGTAAACTGGCCTACTGGGAAATTCAGCAATTATACTGTCATTAAACCAAGCCAGCTACTGGACAGAATTAGCCTGGGTCAGAACATGTGCAGCTTTCATGTAAAACGACAGAATACAACAATGACCAGTAGGGCTGTTTGATATAACGATATATATCGGATGACGATATAAAAATGTCTATAGTTTCATTTTACGCTATCGTTTGTTTCGTGGTGTCGCAAAATAAACTGCTTACGGCAATATTTTTTCACCCTTTTGATCATGGTTTTGATGGTCACTGTAGTGGCTATATTAATTTCTTAAAGTTCTCTCTTTCTCTTATATTTAATATAACCACACTACAGACGGACAAGCGCCTGTTTTTATGCGTTGTGGTTAGCAACAACGACGGTAACAGCATCGCGTGTCCGCTTGTTTATGTTCCACATAAACCTTTCACAATAAAGCTCAAGATCCTGTTGAGACTTTTCAAAATAAACTGAATCACATGAAAGAGCAGATTATTTACGGATTAGAAGTAAAAAAAAAAAAAAAAAAAAAGAGCCGCCGGGTGCTAAAAATAAACCTTAGACTCAAACGTTAGAACAGGCTTTTCCCCGCAGCACGCCGTGTAATAAATACTCAAAGAAAACGGCGGCCGTTACAACTTATGTCTAAAAATGTATAGTTTCATGCATTGGTTAAAACATCGGTCTCCAACCTTTTTTGCGCCACGGACCGGTTTATGGCCGACAATATTTTCACGGACTGGCCTTTAATGTGTGGAAATTACGGAGGCTATCACTTATCACCTGACCAAAGATATGGCTCCCATCAACACTGTGCAAAACGAGGGATTTAGGAAAATGATCAACACCCTAGACAAACGCTACACAGTGCTGTCCCGCAACAATTTTTCTATTGTTGCACTACCTGCTCTATACACACAGTGTCGAGCAACGGTGGAGACGGAATTTCAAGCAGTACAACATTTTGCGGCAACAACAAAACGTGAGACATTTGTTGTTTTTATGTTTATTTTATGTTCAGTCTCAACTGTTACGAAGTTGATGAGCAGTTAATAAGTGCAATAAATATTTATATTGGAAAAGAAAATCGTGAGAGAATCGTGATCTCAATTCTAAGCCAAAAAAATCGTGATTCTCATTTTATGCAAAATCGTGCAACCCTACCTTACACTCTAAAAATCTCTTAGTCTCTTAATCTCTAAAAGCCCAAATCTCTTAGTGTTTCATCTGCGACCTAAAACTGATGTCACAACGACACAAGACAGGATGCGGTTGATTTGTCATCGTGGGCAAATATTTTCTATGGAAAAACGAACTGAAAAAACATGACTAAGTATTTGGCAACATGCCATCCAATTATAGTTCAGGGAAACTGACAATGTTCTGCTGAGTTGCAGGATGATCAACAAGATTTTCTGACTGATAAAAGATATCAAACAGTCACATTCCTATTTTAAATAGGGATGGTCATGACCTTCATATATTTAAACTATGAAGTTATTTAAAAAAATTCTGGTTCATTTAGCAATTTTTTCCCTTTTAAGATAAATAATTTCCCTTACCAATAGGGGTGGGCAGTAGAAACTGTATACGGTAGAAACGATATGAATTTGGCCAACGGTAGAGATTTTGACTATACCGCTCTACCGCGAAAGTGCATGTTGATAGTGTCATCAAGCTGCGCCTGCTTTGGTCGAAAGCATCGCAGCAGCTGCAAGCAGTATCATCTGCAAATTATGCCGGGCGACAGTAATAGTGAAGAGAGGAAGCACGTTTTGGAATTTGAAGAAAGCCAAAAACTGCGCTTGAATGTTGAATTCTCTCGCAGCTGCTCTATTCCCATGTTGTTGCAGTATATTAATAACTAACCTCGTATTGTGGATGGATTATCTCAGTTGTTGTCCTGACTGAAGTTTGGTTCATTTACAGCATCCTGCCATGCGATTGCATTTGACCCTCACATTAACTTTTATCGAGTGGAAAGAAGTTAGCGAAAAAATATATTGCGATATATATCATTACTGCAAATGCTTCAAATTATACCGCGATATGGATTTTAGGCCATATCGCCCAGCCCTACTTACAAACACCAAAAACAGTTTGCAAGTCACTATTAAACAACAAAAATATAACACTCGGTAGTGAGAGAATAAATAGAGGAGAAACATGCAAAACTGTTAAAACTAACATGTCACTGTGACACACTTATGACATGTTCAACAGCTTGTCTTTGATGATTTGATGAGTGGTTGAAAACAGTATCGTTGCGTGAAACGGCAATATCTGGTTTTATACAATAGGTTATGACCAAAGATTAGTGATACAGTTAGGAGACCTCATCTATGGGCTCAAAATGTGGTCATAAATATTTTGTACTTGTAAATCGGTTTTGTACTTGTAAAAAAAATTTGTATGTGTAAAAAAAATTTGTGTGTGCGTAAAAAAGATTTGTATGTGTAAAAAAAATTTGTGCGTGCGTAAAAAAGATTTGTATGTGTAAAAAAAATTTGTGCGTGCGTAAAAAAGATTTGT